AGGGCTCCCAAACCTGAGTGGTCATTGGCTTCCTCAGGAGCCCACAGCTTCCTGGGCCTGCCTGGGGTTTCTGACTCAGGAGGTCTTGCCTGGGCCATCTCTGCTGGCCTGGCTGGAGCGGCCTTGGCTTCTGTTTGGTACCCACTACCCAGAGCCCCTGAGAGCTGAGCTGGCTGCCTGATGGGTGAGGACAAGCAGGAAACATCCCGCTGAGAGCAGCTGAGCCCCAGCCCCAGGGCTGAGTGGAGCCGGAGCCGAAGGTTTCTGAGAAGCACTTGCTGTTTGGAGAGGCCAGACCCCTCTGCCTCACCCCACTTTCACGGTGCAGGACACTGTTTTAGTCCATTCTCAAATAACCAAATACCACAGGCTGGCTGATTTATAAGGAATAAAGGTGTGTTCAGCTCATGGTTCCGAAGGTCCAAGGTCACGGGACTATGTCTGGTGAGGGCGTTCTGGTGGGGACTCTGCAGAGATTCAGGAGAGCACAGAGCCATGTGGCAAGAGGAGGAGAGCACGCCTGATCTCCTTGTTATAAAGCCACCAGCGCTCAGCCATGGGGGCCCCACTCTGCTGCCTTATGTAGTACTAATTACCTTTTGGAGGCCCACCTCTTAGTGAGTTTCTACACTTTTTTTCCCCCAGAGAGATTTTTTGCTATAGGGCACGTGCACTCATTGGAGAGACAAGAGAGACAGACAGAATGCAAGAAATCAGCCCCAGGGAGGATGGCCACGCTGCAATCCCTTCTCCTCCATTCTCCTCTCGGGACTTTGGGCACACATGTGCACATGCCAGGCGTGAGTTCTAAGCCACCGAATCTGAGACTTGAACCGCAGTGAACCACATGGGAGTCCAGCGATGTAACCATTGCACCGTCTGCTGGTCCCAGAGTTTCTACACTTTTTAAAGTTTTCTTTTCTTTTCTTTTTTTTTTTTTTTTAAGTTTATTTCCTGCAAAAGAGACAGGCATTCTCGAGGGGGTTCTCTTCCCCTATCCCTCGTAGTCAGCAAGGCTGGCGGGCACGCCCGGCAGTGGCATGTTCGAGTAGGCCCAAATGTGAACCTGGAGCCCTCCCGTGTTCTCCCCAGCATCAAGCAGTAGCCCCTCTGCTGCCTGTCCCGTCGCGGCTGAGCTCTACTCTCTGACACTACCACAGTAGCTACCAGCTTTTAGCATGTGAAATCCGGGCAGGGAGTGGGGGCACATTCAAACCAGAGCAGACTATGAGCATGACCACTCTCACTCTAGTCCCAGCCAGCCCACCCCTTTTCTGCTGTGTGACTTTGAGCAGATATTCAGCTTCTCTGAGCCACTGGTTCCCCAGCCAGCAAAGCCCTGCGGAGAAGCCCCCTCCACACGGGCATTTGGGTGCTGAGTGTGGAGGGGTGTGCCATCTGCACCTTCCAGCAGGGTGCCTGTTCCCCATCTCAGCTGCTGCTGGAGGCTGGGCACCAGACTCTCACCCCAGGCCGTGGGAATGGCACCTCCGAGCGCCTTGCCCCTCCGGCCCCAGCCACACTGCCGTTTTGATACATTGCCGGTTAATCCTGTATCATTGTTAGGGTGGGGCCGGCCTCTCAGCCCGGTTTTGCCACCTGGTGTTGCCCACGAGCTCAGACGTGACCTCAGCCCAGTGGAACTGCCCTGCAGGGAGAGAGGTACGCAGGATCCCGGTGTCCCTTAAGAAGCATATGCTCATTGTTTGCAGCAGCCTTCAAGAGGCTGATGCAGGCTACCACAGCGGGGGTTAGGTAACTCATTAAAATAAAACCAAGGCTTCTGTGCCTTTACTGGCCATGTCACTCATGGTAACTGGCACTGTAAGTGTTTGCGCGTCCACCTTGAAACCACTGCCTGATCATGAAACTAACTCCCCTGTGGAGGCTGCCCTCGTGCCTCCTCCTGGTTTCCCGCAGCAGAGTCTGGCCCAGAGCAAGACCCTGAGTGGCCAAGCCCAGCAGGACTCTGATCCCAAAGGGACTTGGTGCAGGAGAGGTGGGCACTGGGTGGGACCAGAGAGTTTACTAGAACACTGGTGGTTTCACCACTCAAGGTGAGGATGCCGGGGGATGAAGGGGCCTTATCAAGGCAGCTGTGGAGTAGGGTTCTCTGTGCCTGGTCGCCTGAGGCCAGCCAGCTGCCTCCACCTTCAGGAGTGGGCCTGAGGCCTGGATGGGCCTTCAGGACTAGAGCTAGCTGGCCTTTGGGGCCTGGTCCAGGCACCCCCCCCCAGATCCTCCTGCAGGGTGCTTGACCGTGTCCAGGAGCAGAGGTCTCACCATTCCGTCATCAGATCATTAGAAAAGCCAGCCTCCTAACTCCCTCCTGCTGTGGCTGTCTCCCTGCCCTTCCCTTTTCCTGGTGACAGTTTATGAGAGGTTGAAGGATGACCATTCTTGCCCCGCCAGCCTGAACTCCTCGTGCTTCCTCTGGCCTGGTCTCTGGCCTACACCTGCGTGGGACTGACCAGGTGGCCTGGGTGATCTCTGAGAAGTCCTCACCTGTGTTTTGTCTGTGATTCTCCAGTTCCAAGAAGCCAAAGACATGCCCTGCAGTGACTGCAAAGCCCAAGCTCAGGCCCTCACCCCGGCTCACCATCTTTGACGAGGAGGTGGACCCTGAAGAGGGGCTCTTCGGCCCAGGCAAGAAGCTCTCCTCCCAGAGGCCCTCGGAGGATGCACACAGAGACAGTAAGTAGGAGCCAGGGTGTGTTCCTCCGCTGGAGGACTCCATGCTGGGAACACAGGATTGCTGAGCAGCCTTGGGACTTCCCGCCCACCGGGGGGTCCAACCTTTCCCACCACCTCTTGGGGAGTCAGTGTCACCTGTTAACTCAACTGACACTGGAGGCTCAATAGCACCCAGAGGTAGAAGACCCAGTCCCTGTCTTCAGGGCCAGCCTCTGTCCTCCAGGGAGACAAGATCTCTCCT